AATTATAATAATTTATAATAATTTATAATAATTAAAAACTTAATATAAAAATAAGCGCGGTAGGCTAAGAAACTTATAACTTTTAACTTTATTATTAAATACTGCCCGGGGGCAAAAAACCCGATAAATACTTTAAGTAAAAAAGTAAATTATATTCTTAAAAAAAAAGAAAAGAGCTATAGGCGGGATAGTTTTTTATAAATTATAAAAATAATTAAATAACTAATTATTATTATACCTAAAGTTTAAATTATAACTTAATATGCAAGCTATTATAGTAAATAAAAATTTATATATAAATAAATTATAGCTAAATATTATAAAACTACTTTAAGTAGCCTAAAAATATAATAAAAAGTTTTAAAAAATAAGAAATAACCTTATAAATCTAAACTATAAAAAAACCTTAAATATTAAAAAGTAATAAATAATAGCTTATTATATTTTAAAAACTAAGTTTACATGTTAAAGTTAGTGGTACTTTGCAAGAAAATTATAAAAGTAAATTATAATAAGCCCTAAAATAGGTATTAAGGTATTAATATAACTATTATAAATATTTTTTAAAAGTATTATTAGCTAAATATAACCAGGTATATTAAAAAACATGTTAAAAAATATAATAGCTACTAATAAATTATGGTTTATAAATATAAATTATATAAATTATTAAAACTATTAAGCCTACTAAGGGCACTTATAAAATAAATTAATATAAACTTTATTATTAATTTATCACCCATAAAGTATAATAAGCATGTATATAATATTATTTTAGTAATAGTTAAGATATATACTAAATTTATATAATATATTTTATGCTTAAAAAATATTAACATAAAATAACTTATAAATACCCTTATAAATAATATTTTTTACTTTATTAATATATTAAAAAATATAATTAGTAATTATAAAAGTTTTTTTATTAATATATTTTAGGCTATACTAAGCTACTACCTAGGCATAAAATAAAAACTATTTACTATATATTACCTATAAATAAATAGCTAAACTAAAAGGTAAAACCAAGTTTTTAAATACTATCTTCGTGCTTATATTAACTAGCACTAAAATAATTAACTATAATAAATTAAAATAATATAATTTATAAATAATAATATATATAAATAATTTATAGGTTATATACTTATTAAAGCCCTTATAAATTTAAAAATAATTATATATATTAATATTAAGGGGCCTAACTAGGTATTAAAAATTAAACTTTAAAAAGTTATAAAGTTTAAAAAAATCCGCGCGAATTTAAAAAAGTAATTATAAAAATTAAAAAAAGCCATGGTAGTTTAATATAATAAAAAGCGTAAGAAAATAAGCTTTAAAATTAATAACCATATTATGCTTTATATAAAAAATATTAAGTTAATAAAACTAAATTATAAATTAAGTAAGATACTTATTAGCCTATTTTTAATAATTATAAAATAGGGAAAATAGTCCTATAAGCTACTACTTTTACTAAATATATAATAATTATATAATATTTTTTATATTATACTTTTAAAACCTTATTATAGTAACTTATTTTAAGTATTAAATATTAGCCTTATACTAGTAAATAGTAAGAAAAAATACTTTATTAAAAAAATCCTTAATATTTATAAATTTAAGGGCAAGGTATAATACCTTATAAAATAATAAGAATAAAATAATATAAAAAAATAATATATAAAAACTAAAAGCTTATATGGCTAAAACTATAGTACTTAAAAATTTTAAAAAAACCTATAAAAATAAATTACATAAAGTAAAGAAATATTAAATATAAATATTTATATTTATAACCTACGCGCACTTATAAAAAAAATATATTATTTTTATTAATTAGCAGCGCCCGCAGGGCCTTTTAATAAAAAAAAATAAAAATATAAAATAAAATAAAAAATAATAAAAAACTTAAATAAGTGGCTAAGCCGCGTGGCGCGTAGTACTTAATATATATAAAATAAAAATTAAGCCTATAAGGGCGCTAATACTAATACCTAGTATAAAAGTAACCTTAATAAAAATTTTTAAAAGTATTAAAGCGTAGTACACCCCGCACTAAAAATAATAAAAGTTTACAAAAAAATTAGTAATATAATATAATATAAACTAAAATATATAAATATATACTTAGTAATTAAAGTTATACTAGCATAAAAAAAGACTATAACTACTAAAGCAGCGCTAAATAAAAATTAAAAAATTAAAAAAAAACTATTATAATAAATTAGTAAACTAAAATATAATAATATTATAAAAAGGGGACTAACTTATATAATAAATTATTATTTTTATTAAGGGGGGTACTAACCTGCAAAGTAAAATTAAATATAAATATAATAATATTTATAAAATTAGCTATTTATATATTATTAGCCGTGGTAGTTTACTTAATAACTACTTTAAATATTTAATAAGCTATTTTTAAAATAATAAGGTTTTTACAAGCTCGTGGACTATTAGCTTTTATATATATAATATTAATAATATTAAAAATATTTTATAACTAGTTACTTATTAAGGTAATATTAATAGCTATATATTTTAAAAGCGCCCTTTTTATATTATAATAAAACTAGTACTTTTTATTTTTTAAGTAATTATATATAAGGGCTTTTATTATAATATTTATAATAAATATATTTTTATTATAACACCCCGCGGTAGCAATATATATAATATATTATAAAATATAAAAATTAAGTAGTAAAGTTATAAAGCCCGGGGGCAGTAAAAAAAAATATTAATAAAAGTCTTATTAGCAAGGGTAATAAAAATAATAGCAGGGGTAGTAATAATAGTAGTAGTAATAAGGGCATGCAAGTATTAAAATTAAGTTATTTTAATAATTAGCATGTTAATAATTATTAATATATAAGTAAAAAGCAGGGAAATATAATTTTATATACTAAAGGTAAAATAAAAAGTAAAGACTAAAACTAAGGCTTAATTACTATAATAAAAAAATATAAAATAAAGCACCATAATAAGATAAATAATTATTAATAATAATATTTAAAATATAATATAAAACTATATTAAATATTAAAGCAAGAGAAATATAAAGTAAAAGGCAAGTATAAAAAATTTTAAAAAAAAAATAGGGTTAAAAACACGCGGTATAATAAAGGTTATAATAAAAATAAACTATGTTTAATTTAATTATTAAAAATAATTTTAAAAATATAAAAATAATAAGAGCTAAATGCAAGAAGCTTATTAGCTAAATTAAAAAGGTAAGTATATAATAAAATATAAAAAAAAAGTAAATAAAAAGCTAATATAGTAATATATTAATAGCTAAAATAAAATAACTATATATTATAAATAGCTATTAAAAATATTAAAAAAAGTATAAAAATAAGAAGATTTAGCTATCTAAAGCTTAAAGCTTTATTATAAAAATTAAATATAAAGTAAAATAAAATATATAGGCCTAATAATACTAATATAAAATTAATATTATTAAAATAAATAATATAATACTTAAAAAGCATGGGAAAGGGTAAATATAGGGTATTTTAATTTTAAAAATATAATTAAATAATTAAAAAGTAATAAAAATATAATAAAAAGGTGTATACTCACGGCAGGCATTTTTAATTAAGTTATGAAAAAAACTTAAAAAAAAAAAAGAAAAATTATAAAGGCACTTTAGTATTAAAACTAAAATATTATGCCTAGCTACTACAGGCAGTAATATTATATTTAAATTTAAAAGTAAAGTAAGGTAATTAAATTAATTTTTTATACCTAACTTTAAATATAAATTACATATAAATTATAATATTTTATAAACCTAAAAATAGCTTATTTTATAATGCTTAACAAGATTTATAATTTAAATTATATTTTATAAAATATAAATTTAAATTTATAAATTGCAAGGGCGCAATTACTTAAAAAAAGTATTATTATTATTATTATAATATTATAATTATATAATATTATAATAATATAATTTAGTAGCTTAAAGCTACCAGGCAAAGGAACTTTAGTACTAAACTAGTTGCATGCCAAGGCGGTAGCTAGTTATATAACGCATAAAATACTAAATTTAACTTTAAACTCTAACTTAAAAGAATTAGTAATTAGTTCCTACTATAAATACACAACGCCTTTCCTATTGCAGTAATTCACGTTCTCCTAAGCTTATTGTAGTATACAAACGCGACTCACACCTATATAAACACGATTAGTATAAAATCTAACCTTAATTATATAAATTATTAATCTCTGGTGTAATTTTAGGAGCTAATAAATAAAACCTCTCTTTTTAATCACGGTCCTTCTCCTTTATATCCACACCTCAAACCTGTAGTCGCTTGAGTGTGAATGGTTGTTCAAATATCAAGCCTTGTAACATTCGAAGGCGGGAGATTGCAACATAAGCCAACTAGTGGTCCTGAACTCGGCCATTTAACCCCAGAGACCGTTTCTTCTTTAGGTGTACCTTCACGGAAGGAGGTTATCTGGTTGGACGTTCATTCATTACATCCAATTCTGTCCATGCAATCATTTACACACCCACAGGGGCACCAAAAACTCGCTGGCCACATGCGAGGCATCGTCATCTTCCGGTAGCCTCAACATCACTGGCGCGGCCGCTCCTTGAATCAAGAGGCACCTTGTCAAACACGGTGCCGCACGCACCTAGGGAAGCATGCCCCATGGGAGAACATCGGTCAAGTCAAGGCAACCCTAATAGCAGAACTCCTCGACTTCCAATCTCCAGCCAGACACTGCATCCCAGTTAAGGGTATACCTGTCTTCAGGCTGTATGCTGCGCAGCGGCAGCTGATTACGATACTGTTTAGTAAAGTGGTTTTGAAAATTAGGTGGCAAGAATCTTACCATCTGTTGATACCTCTCAAGCACAGCAACGTATGTTTGTTTTCCTACTTATTAAACGGCCTACTGGGGACACCAAGAGCAGTGGCTCCCTTCGCGACACTGAGCAACTTAACGTCGCTGTCAGTCCGGCTCGCCAAATCATGGTTATCGTGGGCAACTTTACTGCATGGAATGCCCAAAGCGCCCGCATAGGTGTCTGTGCCAATCACGCTGCCAATAAGGTACAGGCCCCGGTGTCCAATTGCCTGGTAAGAGCTTCAGAACGGAACAATTTAGAATACTGCTAACACCGTCTCAAAAGACCCTTACAAGCCTGGCCTCGTGGACTTTTGGATTGTACAAGAAGTCCACGGCGAAGCAATAACCGTCGCTGCCGGAGGGTTTCTCATATATTTATCAACAGTCTTGCATTGTATAAGTACAGCGAAGACGATATTCCCTTGTGTCGGGTACTTCTTGCCATACTGGCCTGCCTTTTTCTCTTCACCTCAGACACTTTGTCAGCTCAGCTCCTCGAGGCCACAGATCTAAGCCCCCTATAGCTTCCTTAGCTTTTCCGGTGCAGAAGATAAGTGCACGCCACAAGCGGCACTCATCTAGCTGCTGAAGGAACTAGGCGGCATGGCGGATGTAAAAAGGATCCATTGGACCTTAGACAAGATGGAATGTCGATCCCATCCCTGGTGGACCCCTCGTTGCGAACAATTAGTTTGGACCGAAGCAGATTACATTCTGACCCTCGACTCATACCGAGGACGATCGCCACGCGGAACAACCTCAGGACTTCGAACAACGACCACGTTTCTATGTATTCGAGAAGGATGGCGTGCTACCGGTCAACCTCCCAGCAGAAACATGGCTTACAAAGACCGCCTGGCCCGCAAAGCAGTTCCTGGTTAATAGGAATATTTGGCTCGTTGCGTCATGGCCCCAAGCAAGTGCCGCTTTTGCTACAGCTCAGAGCACGGGTCCTCGGCTTGCGGCGAATCTACGGAGTGGGAGACTGGAGATTCTGTCACTGTCACCACCTCCCCTGACGATGAGGTGGAGTAAGATGTAACGCACTGGTTGGCCGCCGGCGATGGGACTCCGCGGAAGTTCAGGGTGGTGGAGGAGATAAACCAGGCCTTTCAACCCAACGCCGCAACCCGGGAAGCGTATTTCAATTGGCGCAAGAGAGCCATTCCTATTTGCCTTGGACGCCAACTACAGGCACATCTTTGGCCCTAAAACATTGCAAAGTGTTATTAGAAAACACTGGCTAATAGCTAAAATTTTTTATTAATACCCTACTATTTTTATTACTAATAAACATGCCTAAGAGCGTCTTGTTAAGCTATTATAAAATAATTATATATTAAATAAAAAATATACCGCAAGGGTAGCAAAAAATTTAAAAATTTTAAATTAATTAGCTTAAGTTATTATAGCGTTTATTACCTAAGGTCTTAATTTAATTAAAAATTTAAAAAAATAGGTATTTAAATTAAAATATTATTAAAATACCGTAAGAAAAATATAAGCTATATACTTAAATTATTAATTACTAGGCTATATTTCTTACTATTTTTTAATATATAATCATTTAAAAAACGCCGCAGTACAAGTATTAATTAAATAATAATTTAAAGCTAAAAATACCAAGCTAAAAAAAATTATAAGAATTAAAGCTATAAAAAAACTAGGTATTTAAAAAAGTAAAGCATACTTATAATTATAAGTCGCGTTTGTATACTGCGGTGAGCTTAGGAGAACGTGAATTACTGCAATAGGAAAGGCGTCGTGTATTTGTAGTAGGAACTAATCGCTGATTCTCTAAGTCAGAGTTGGGGTCCCTATTTGGAGAGGTTTAGCGGGTTCCAAGCGAGGCTTAAAAACACTACCCGTAATACTTTTACTTTACACTTATTTTACTTTTACCTTAAGTTTAGTTTGCCCCCCAACCTAAGTAAGCCCCTATACCTAAGTAAAAAATAAAAAAAGCGCCCTTAAATAAAGGGGGGGGGTTTTCCTAATATTTTTAAAGGGGATTAAAAAGCAAGGGGGCGAGCTAGGGGTCCCCCCTTTATAATAAGTAAGATATATTTATAAAAAACTTTATAAAAAAACTTAATATAAACTAAGGCTTAAAAACTTGCGTGGTAGTTATAATAGTAATAAAAAAAAGGCAAAAAGTATTAATAAATAATATCTTTAAGCCTTACTTAGAGCTTTAGTAAACCTCTCCAAGCATGATACCCGTTAGAGTTTGGAGTTAAACTTGGTGTTCTATACTTTATGTGACTGGCCGCCGCCTTAGCACGCGGTTAGTTCAGCGCCGAAGTTCCTCCGCCCGGCGGCCTCAGGCCGCCGGATTGCGTCATTGCAACACTGCGCAGTTGCAACACCATAATAGTGATAACAATAATATATTATAATTATAAGTATAGCATTTAATCCAGGATATAAAATACCTTATTTTTTCAAAAAAATAATTACTATAATTAGCAAGATTAATAAAAAAAGGTAATAAATATAATAAATACTAAAAAAAAGTACTAAAAGTAAACTTGCGGGAGTAAGTGGTAATAACTTTTAAAACTTAAAAATAGCTTGTTATAATATAATAGCAGCTTATAAAAAAACTTAATAATATTTAATAATAAGCCTTAGCTACTACCGCGAATTAATAAGTTTTAATCAAATTTTATACTAGTTTATAAAAGATTTAAAATAATTAAAATAGCCTTTAAGTATAATTATATAACACCCGCCAGCTTTTAATTATATATATTATAATAATAATAAGTACTACCGCGGTTATTTTTTTTATAATTAAAAATAATATAAATAGGCAGGGTGTAATTGCTCCTCCTTTTTTGCCTTTATAAAGGTTAGAAAATACGCTATGGCATTTATAGTAGGGAGTTTTAAGGGGGTTTTTAAAAATAATTCTTGATTTATAATTACGCGTTTGTCTTGTTAATAGCCATATCCTTATTAAAAAAATTTTGGCCTTATGCCGAAAAATTTAGGCCCTTTAGAATAGTGTAGGAAGGAACGACACCGTGACGTGATCACGTGGCTTACCGCCACCACCGATAGTATGTCAAGTTTCACAAGTACTTGGGCAAGCACCTCTGTTGATGCTTGTTACTCTCAACCCCATGGATCTCTACGAGATCGACTGCATCTAGGTTCGAAAGTCGCCACATTATTGTGGGAGGAGACTACCTACCAAGGTACTTTGGCACATATATCGCAAAGAGCAGAACAAGGCCTCAGCTCGGGCTCAGGTCAGACCATGCATCCCGCACAACACCAAGCCCTAAAAGGTACCATATCTGAAGCACCTGCAGGTCACCTAGGTATCTACCTAGGTATTCAACATCGATTCGATAACAAGACCGCCAGCAGTTCAATGCCAAAAAAAGACGCATTCGTACCATAGGTAATGCAAGGACATTTACTACCGGGTTTAGTCTGTCGGATAAAGAGATTGGCACCAGTGGACCTGTTCGCTAGCGACTGGGATCAAGCGGTCTTCGCCATTTTGAAAGCATATTGAGGAGTTGGAGGATTGCATCCATTCTAAGGATTCATGGGTAAGGGGGATCACCAAGGTGGTCAAGACCAGGATGTCCCTGAGAGCGATCGGTGCTACCTTACAAGTCAACATGGAAACCGGAATGTCACCAACATATGCGGGCGCTGATGCCAACGGAGCTACAGCCTTTGCTGTGTGTCGTATGCCAGCTACATGGACCTTGATTGTTAGATAGGTCAATGACAAACCACAACCATGAGCGCCAATATCGTGTCAACAATTCGCTACCAAAGCATCCATGTGCGTTGGTTGCCGCTTGGCAAGTGCGCAACGTCATGGACATGCTCATGCGGTGGCTTGGCTAACTGTAAGACCGACAAGGGCGGTTGTCTCCTGTTGCCTTCCTGCATGGAAGCGGACGTTGCATTCTTGCAACGAATGGATCCCACTAACCTCGACAAATATATTTGTCACCAAGATGCGTTTACGCATTAAGTCAAGCTGGTGATTAAGGCTTACAAGAAGGAGATAAGCGCTAAGGTCCGGGCCATGTTGGTATTAGCTTCGGCCATCCAGGAACTCGTGCAAAGCTTCCGGCTCGCTTCCGGACAGCCCCCGGCCCACTTCGATAACGGCTGGGACGCCCACTGGTCCTCTAACGTCTTTTCACTGGGAATCTGCTATCCCTACGAATGTGAAGATATCTTCCACAGCCATCATGCCACTGTTGCTCATCCAGATCAATGCGGATCGTGGTTGCTCGGTTCGGAACAAGAAGGGTCATTGCAAGGTTGAGCCTACCATCCATAAATTACTGCTACCATACCAATATGACATGGTCACGACACCACACGATATCTATTATCAGGCTGAGACCCGTGGTACATCTGCTAAATCGCCACTGCAAAACCAAGGGGGCAAGGAAGATCCGTGACGACGGCCTGCATGGCCTTGTGGACGTGCACAGCATATGACAGATGTTCAGGCATAGCCCAGGGAGAGAGTTTCCTAGTTCTCCAGCTCGCGGTGATACTTTCCACGATTTGCCGGGTGGTGGCAGCATTGGGAAGGTACCTACCATTCATCACATGCACCTGCAACCCCTTGAAACCACCCGACGCAGGCTACTGACAGCGAATTCGTTCCTGGTGGCTTTCTTCATTATATCGTCAGCGATGTGGCGAAGGGGTACAGCTAAATAAGGAGATTCTCTGGGCCTATCCGCGCGAGGAGCGAATTGTGATTAGAGACGGCTTTTAAGAAGTCTGAAAATATACCTACATGGATGTACCATTACTATTTTGCCATTCTTAGCTTTTGCATGTTTAAACTTACCACTGCCACCAAGCAGATAGGTCGTACGCATGCAGGTGGTCACCGAAGCCTTGCCATGCAGCAAGCCCAGGAAAACAACCAGCTAGTTGAGATGGTCCTCAACGGATGGGGCGGACTAACCAGCAATTCTGTCTCATACCTTTCGCTTCTACTAGACTCAGAATTCTAGCCTTAATACTTTTAATCTCGTCAAATGTGCCGCTTAAGCAGTTAAACTATCTGAAGCAATAGTGTTTCGCGGGAAGGCTTCCGAAGACTGGGGAAAATACCCTAGTTGGAGGATGCTGCAAAGGCCACGGCCAGCGTGACTGATACCTCTATAGGTAGGTTGGAAACCTCCCATAGATCTGGTTCAAACACCGGCAGCACCATGTCTCTTGCGTCCTAAGGCCCCGTCATATCTCCTTAAACCCTAAATCAGCAGAGGCTGAAGGGTGCTATCCAACAGAGAAGAAAAGCACAGCAACTCCATTGATGCGGACTACACACGGCCACAGATTCCT